TTCTGGATGAATGGTGCATGAGCGGCCTCGCCCCACTCCCGCCGACACCCGGGAATACGCGAGGTCCGCGACCCCCGCCCTCCCATCCGACAAATCCTCCGCCACCTCGTAGGGCCGCATTCCCGAGAGAAATACAAGTACGCAAATTTTCCTTATTCGCGAAAATGAGAAGGGCTTGGTTAGCAATATGATAAACCTTGTCATTTGTCGACAAATCAATTCTACGAATAAAGGACATAAATAAGCAGCATGGCGGGGGATGGGTGTTAGATTGCTTGAAAGAAATTCAATTGTGTTAAGGACAATGTGAAACAAGAGGCAAGGGTTGTAACAACTTTGGAAAAATTTCGATTATCTTCGTCCCTGTTCTTGGGAGGAGAATTCGTTCTGTCTCTGTCAGCACGTCCGGAGAGTTGATAAGGTAGAATTGAATTTGCCTTATTCGTAGTTTCCCGTGTTTCTCCGACAATATAGGCCGAAGCATCGTACCCCTGAAAAACGGATCGCGAACGACGCGCGATTGTTTCCTCCCTCGTTTTTGTATGCTCCTCTCTTCGCGCCCGCACACACATTACATATACACTACACTACAACACTGCAATATCAGGAAGTGTCGGGCGCTTAGAGCTTGTCCGGCTGGGGGGGGGTGCTCCGCTGGAGCTGCTGGAGGGAGACTTCCTTGCCGAGCCATGCAGTGGCGCTGGATCTAACGATCCCTCTGCGGAGGAAAAACCGCCAGCTTCGAGGACATGCCCATGCACTTACCTCTTTTACGGGGGTCAAGTTTGTTGGTTTTTTGCATCCAGGCGGCTTTAAACATAAGGGCGGACTCGGCTATTTGTCAGTGACGCGCCGGAAACATCAATCAGGGTGTCTCGTAGCAAACATAAGCGTGTAAGCGGCTGGTTCGCTAAAGAGAAGCTTCAAAGACGTGGTACATCGGATACTGGTTAAACTCGGGGAGCAATAACAGCTTGGTCTGAGTTCTTTGATACTAAGTAACGTGGAGATAAACCGATGCAGTTTTCTGCAAAATAATTATGTATGCAGTTGGAAGGGAAGTGGTTGGCTTTCCCTCAAATGAGAATGGGAAACCCAGGAGAGGAGGAATATTCAAGCCTTGTGGTTTCGCCAAAACAGGGGTGGACCTTTGAAAATAAGATCAATTAAATTATTCGAATTTTCACATAGTTTATAATTCTGATTCTAGTTTGGTTTCTAGAAATGTCCGTGCAGAATTGCATTTTTCTACATCGAACGATATCAATATTACCAAGTACATATGCTTCAATTAATATCTTCATATCAGGGAAGCTACACATCCAGGAGAATAAAAACGAGGGACCTCTGGGCTACTCTTAACTCATTTGTTGGTTTTTGCGGAAACAATTATACGATGTAAATACTTGGACTACTAATCGAAACACAGTATTCAAAATGGAAAATCGATAAAACGAAATCTGAAAGGCACAAAACTTTTGTGTTAACTTAATATGTCTGCTACCAGCGTCAACACCCTTAAGCGTTGGTGTAAAAACTCTCTGTTTGGAGCTTCGAAGCTGTTAACGTTACGCCTATTTGATAACCGTAAAGTTAGGCCGCCTTCTAAACGTGGGCCACCGCGCGCGCTTCACGAACGCCGCGGCTCGTGGGCAGAGATTGGTTTGAAGGATGATTCTTCCTAACGTAGGCGGCGAGTTGGCGCTTGCCGGCTCTCCCTTACGAGAAGCTGCAGAAGTGCGTCGCGCCCGCCGCTAGCGAACGAGCTTTAAATGGATGGTCGCGGCGTTGTTTGCTGTGCGGTCCCTTGTTTCGTTCGTTCGCCGGAGGTCGCGAAACGAGCGCCTTGGGCGCGAAGCACGGGTGGGACGTGTGAAGGCGGCAAACTCCGCCCCCGACCACAGCGAGACGCGTGGCCTTGTGTGTGCGCAGCTACGGCGTGCGGCTGTGGGAGCTTGCTGACGGGCGAGACGCCGTACAAGGGGATCGACGCGCTGGGCCGTGGCGTACGGCGGCGCGTGAAGCAAGCTGACGCTGCCCATCCCGTTCGCACGTGGCCGCAGCCCTGGCGCAGCTTCTGGAGGCGTGCTGGAGTCGGACCCGCACCCGCCGCCCGCGCTTCCCCGACCACGGGTTGCCCCTTGGCCCGGCGCTTTGACCTTCCATTTCGCGGCCCCGCCCCACTCGCCTTTCACGGGCAGACGCCCACGAGAAGCTTCCACACCATGCAGGAGGACTGGAAGCTGGAGATCGAGGCAGGTGCTGCAACGGGCTGCGCATGAAGGAGAAGGTCAGTGCGCGGCAATGCGACAATTTACACTCTTCTTACAGTCAGTTATTTAACATGGGGTTTTATTAAAGTGTTGTTATAGATTTATTTAGTACATAACAAAAAATATTGTGTTCAATTTACAATTATACAGTTGGGGTGATCAGGTCAGACCAGGGAAGGATAAATAAAGGCATAACAGTTAAGTTTATATGAATGTTTTACACAATAATTATGAGCTAAATTATAAAAAAAACTATTATTACAACTTTTATTGAGATCTATACATGAAATTAGTAATAACCAAACTCCTAGTCTTAGGTGTGGTGTAAACGTTTTGGCTGAGTGTAGTGGTCAACATCATAAGGTCCGTGAAATAGGCATTACTTCCCAGTACAATTTCTTAAGTTTTGTTTTGGAATACTGGCCGTGTGCGCAGTGAGAAAACCACTAATGCTTCTGGTAAAATTAAATAACTGTATCATTAATTTTTAAAGGACTGTATAATTTAGGCTATATTCATAGAAGTGTAACATTGGGTCGGGTGCGGAGTCAAAGAGATGAAAGGCGATTTTTCAACGGAGGCGGATTCAATAGTAATACTTTGTGGTCGGGGAAATTACGTGCACTGAAAACGAAGAGGTTTTAAATGATTTGAAAAGAAAACATTTATTCAATTTTAGAGTCATCTAAAACGCTGACTAATATTTGGTGTGTGAAAAATGTATAAACCGTTCTGTTTAATTCATGTGACCGATGAATGTGAAACTTTCGATAGCTATGGTTTACCTTTTCTAACTATAAAGTGTATAATGCTCTTTGACAAATATTACAAATATTGCTTTGTTTCATTCCAAGTTTTAGTAAGTATACCAATATTTGCGCCCCTGGTTCAATGCATCAATCGAACCAGGGTCACGAGGGCGCCTGTCAGTATGAACCCTGCGTGGGCTACTACCCCTCTCTCTACTTGTTCTGCCAGAGGGAACGAATCTCCGGGTTGGGATCTAGGCTTTTCGCTTTTATCCAGCCCCACCCCTCCATGCACAAGTGCGCGGAGGGGCTGGTATCCCAATCCTGCGGAACGCAATTTGCCCTCACGGCAACCTCCCCGTTCAATGGCTGGGTTGGGGCGCCCCTGGCAACTCAGAGCTGCTAGCTCTCCAGTGTAAGTACCGTAATGTAGACAATGCGCCACTCACATGCACCGGACAAGTCCCTCCTCTTCGCCCACAAAATCGTGCCACTGCCACGACGAAACAGAGGCCCAACAGGGGACCACCGCGGCTCGACGCCATGTGGGCGTAAATCTCCGATTCGGTCAATGGCGTCTACGCTTAGGCTGGACCGGGCAGAGGGGCGTTCGCAAGAACGTTCTGGTTCTCTCACATAGAAGCCCGAAGGGGATACGGACCCACCACCTTTGTGTAGCCTACGTCCTGGCGATACCCCCGTCATTAGCCGGAACCCCGAGCCGCGGGTGGTCCCCTGTTGGGCTCTCTGTTTCGTCGTGGCAGTGGCACGATGTTGTGGGCGAAGAGGAGGAACTTGTCCCGGTGCATGTGAGTGGCGCATTGTCTACATTACGGTACTACACTGGAGAGCTAGCAGCTCTGAGTTGCCAGGGCGGCCCCAACCCAGCCATTGAACGGGGAGGTTGCCGTGAGGGCGAATTGCGTTCCCGCAGGATTGGGATACCAGCCCGTCGGCGCACTTGTGCATGGAGGGGGTGGGGGTGGATAAAAGCGAAAAGCCTAGGATCCCAACCCGGAGATTCGTTCCCTCTGGCAGAACAAGTAGAGAGAGGGGTAGTAGCCCACGCAGGGTTCATACTGACAGCGCCCTCGTGACCCTGGTTCGATTGATGCATTGAACCAGGGCGGCAAAATATTGGTATACTTACTTAAAACTTGGAATGAAACAAAGCAATATTTGTAATATTTGTCAAAGAGCATTATACACTTTTAGTTAGTAAAATAGGTAACCATAGCTATCGAAAGTTTCACATTTCATCGGTCACATGAATTAAACAGAACGGTTTATACATTTTTCACACACCAAATATTAGTCATGCATTTTAGATGACTCTAAAATTGAATAAATGTTTTCTTTTCAAATCATTTAAACCTCTTCGTTTTCAGTGCACGTAATTTTCCCCGACACAAAGTATTACTATTGATCCGGTCCGTTGAAAATCGCCTTTCATCTCTTTGACTCGCACCGACAATGTTATACTTCTATGAATGATAGCCTAAATTATACAGTCCTTTAAAAATTATGATACAGTAATTTAATTTTACCAGAAGCATTAGTGGTTTTCTCACTGGCCACACGGCCAGTATTCAAAACAGAAACTTAAGAAATGTGTACTGGGCAGTAATGCCTATTTCACGGACCTTATGATGTTGACCACTACACTCAGCCAATACGTTTACACTACACTAAGACTAGGAAGTTCTGGTTATTACTAACTTTCATTGTATAGATCTCAATAAAAGTCTGTAATAATAGTTTTTTTATAATTTAGCTCATAATTATTGTGTAAAACATTCATATAAACTTAACTGTTATGCCTTTATTTATCCTTCCCTGGTCTCGTGACCTGATCACCCCAACTGTATATTTTGTATTGAACACAATATTTTTTGTTATGTACTAAATAAATCTATAACAACACTTTAATAAACCCCATGTTAAATAACTGGACTGTAAGAAGAGTGTAATTGTCGCATTACCGCGCACTGACCTTCTCCTTCATGCGCAGCCCGTGCAGCACCTGCTCGATCTCCAGCTTCCAGTCCTCCTGCATGGTGTGGAAGCTCTCGTGGGGCGTCTGCGTGAAGGCCGAGTGCGCGATGGAGTCGAGCGCCGCCAGCACGTGGTCGAAGGCCGGGCGGCGGTGCGGGTCCGACTCCCAGCACGCCTCCATGAGCTGGCGCCAGGGCTGCGGGCACGTCGACGGGATGGGCAGCGTCAGCTTGTTCACGGCCACGCCGTACGCCACGGCCAGCGCGTCGATCCCCTTGTACGGCGTCTCGCCCGTCAGCAGCTCCCACAGCAGCACGCCGTAGCTGCGCACACACAAGGCCCACGCGTCTCGCTGTGGTCGGTGCGGAGTTTGCGCCTTCACACGTCCCCACCGCTTCGCGCCAGGGGCTTCGTTTCGCCGACCCTCCGGCGACGACGAACAAAGGGACCGCAGCAGGCAAAACGCCGCGACCATCATTTAAAGCTGCGTTTCGCTAGCGGCGGCGCGGACGCACTTCTGCGCTTCTCGTAGCGAGAGTGCATCGCCAACTCGCCGCCTACGTAGGAAGATATCCCTTCAAACCAATGCTCTACCACGAGCCGCGGCGTTCTGAAGCGCGCAGCGGTGGCCACGTGAGAAGGGGCCCTAACGTTAACGGTTATAAATAGCGTAACGTTAAAGCTTGCGAAGCTCAAACAGAGAGTTTTTACACAACGCTTAAGGTGTTGACGCCTGGTAGCAGCAATATTAAGTTACACAAAAGTTTGGTGCCTTTCAGATTTCGTTTATCGATTTTTCCATTTTGAATACTGTAGTTTCGATTTAGTAGTCCAATATTTACATCGTAATAATTTGTTTCCGCAAAAACAACAATGAGTTAAGAGTAGCCAGAGGTTCCCTCGTTTTTATTCTCTGGATGTGTAGCTCCCTGATATGGAAGAATTAATTGAAGCATATGTACTTGGTAATATTGATACGTTCGATGTAGAAAATGCAATTCTGCACGAAATTCTAGAACCAACTAGATCAGGAATTATAAACTATGTAAAATTCGAATAATTTAATTGATTCTTATTTCAAAGGTCACCCCTGTTTGCGAAACCACAAGGCTTGAAATATACCTCCTCTCTGGGTTCCATTCTCATTTAGAATGAAAGCCAACACTTCCTTCACTGGCATACATAATATTTTGCAGAAAACTGCAGTCGGTTTTGTCCGCGTTCTTAATATACCAAGACTAAGTATACCCGTTAACCGATTAAGTACCGCCTTGAAGCTTCTCTTAGCGAACCGAGCCCGGTTAACGCTTATGTTTGCTACAGACACCCTGATTGGTGTTTCCGGCGTCACTGACAATAGCCGAGTCCGCTTATGTTTAAGCGCCGGTGTGCAAAAACACAACTGACCCCGTAAGAGTAGTGCATGGCATGTCCTCGAAGCTGGCAGTTTTCCTCCGCAGAGGGATCGTTAGATCCAGCGCCGACATGCATGTCGGCAGGGAAGTCTCCCTCCAGGCAGCTCCCAGCGGAGCACCCCCCCCCCCAGCCGGGACAAGCTCTAAGCGCCCGACTGCTTTCCTGACATTGCAGTGATGTAGTGTATGTATATGTAATGTGTATGTGGGGCGCGAAGAGCGGAGCAGACAAGAACGAGGAAGGAAAAATCGCGCGTCGTTCGGATCCGTTTTTCAGGGTACTGCTTCGGCACTACTATTGATCGGAGAAATCACGGGAAACTACGAATAAGGCAAATAATTCTACCTACAACTCTCCGGGACAGTGGCTGACAGAGACAGAAACAATTCTCCTCCAGACAGTGGACGAAAGAATAAATCGACGAGAATTTTTTAAAAAGTTGTTACACCTTGCCTCTGTTCACATTTCCTTCACACAATTGATTTCTTTCAAGAATCTACACATCCGCATGTGCTCATTTATGTCCATATATTCATAGAAATTTTGACAATGACAAGGTTTATCAATTGTAACCAAGCCCGTTCTTATTTTCGCCAATAAGAATTTGCGTACTCTGTATTTCTCTCGGGGAATGCAGGCCTACGTGTGGGGGGATTCGTCGGATGGGAGGCGGGTCGCGGACCTCGGTTATTCCCCGGGTGTCCGGGAGTGGGGCGAGGCCGCTCATGACCATTCATCCAGAATGTCTATAATGGGTACAGATGATAAAACTGGTGGACGCTACAGTGGGAAGCAGGAAGGGCGGGAGGGAGGAAGGAGGAAATCAATAAAAAATGTCCTACGGACAATTTTTGACCCTTCAAGGTTGGTTGCTGTTAGTGATTCCGGGCGCGTCAAACTACAGAGCAATTAGTCCTGTAAGGTAGTATAGTTTTTCTTCGGAAGTGGGCGGTTAATCACCTCGAGCTGCATGTCAAGATTTAGCGCCGACCTCCGTCGGCTAGCGGGGTTTTCCCAGCCAGGAATCTCCCACCAGCGGGACACCGCCCAGCCCGGAAAAGCTCGAAGCTCCGACCGTCTCCCCGGGCATGTGTGATAGAGTAGTGCAAGGTTGGTGTGTATTAAGTAAGCGGTGAGAATTAGGACAATGAAGGGAAGGAAATATCCGTTTGGCTCCTTAGCCCGTTTATTAGGGTACTGCTTCGGCATTCGCCTGGGTATTTAATAGGAGAAACCACGGAAAACTACACATTCGAGAGGCAGCGGCCACTAGAATTATCTTTCCAGACAGTGACTAAATTCGACCCAAGCTGACAGCTAGTGTCCGAAAATCACACCATCATTTGGGTGTGGAACCCTACGACATCCCAGTCAGAGGCCACTGCAGTGACAGCAGTTGATGTACAGAGCCACCTCTCCCGCTTTAGGTAGAAAACGTGAAATAGATTTCCAATATATTCCCCAAAGTTGAATAAGTAATTTTTCATCGAAATTTTAAGATCTTGATAACTACCAAAACGGAAACTGACCTTTATGAACGCAAAAAGGTTTAAGATTCTGAAAAGAATAGCAAAGGGAACCTCATGTTCAAGAAAGAGAAAAACACTCCACTTTGACGGGGGGGGGATTCACAAGACAATCAATCTGGCGCATCAGCAGAAAAGCGGAAATGATGGCTACTCTGTGAAAAAACTTATTATAGTAAAAAAGTTTTTATGACCACCAATCTAATCTTATTAGTTACCCTCAACACTTCAGAATTGTTGACATAATGTTTCCCGCAATTCCCGGAGACGTTGGCTTTAAAAGAAGTCGAACTGTTTATTTCAGAACAAAACTGGCATAATTCGGCTACGATTTTAGAGTTGGCTTTCGAAGTCGAAAAGGGACAGTTAGTATCCTAAAGTGAGATCCGCCTGTCAATCAATCGAGAGGACATAACGCAGCGTCAACGAGACACAGCAACCCGCTCCACTTGGACTACCGGCATAGAGCTCACCTCATCAGGACTGCTACTGACTGCAGCGTTTTTGACCGGAAGTTCCTAGTTCGAGTCTCGACGTGGGGATTTTCGACACTACTAGCTAGGTCGAATTCAGTCACTGCTGGAGAACTGCTGCTCTGATATATAGTTTTCCGAGTTTCTTCGATCAACACAAGGAGAATGCGGAAAGCTACCCTAAAAAACGTGCCACACACCACAGGCGATCAATTCTTCCTCTTCCTTGTCCTATCCTCACCCCTTACTTACGTACACACTCTAACATGCACATGCTGGGAGTGTGGGGCGGTGCCCCGCTGGGGGACACCTGGAGCGGGAATTCCCTCGCAAGCCTACGTGTAGGACGGCGCCGGATCGCTGCACCGAGCGGAGAAGGAATCTCTGCCACCTCGCTCACTACACACATGCGACTAAGGACTTCAAACTGTAGTCGCAATACCCTTGCTTTTGATAGTATGAGCGGCACGTAGTGAAATAGGTGCGCATATTGGTGTAGGGTATTAGTGAAAGTAGAAAACGTTAGCGCCTCTCCCATTTTCTTGATTTATATTTGATCCTGAATTTCGATAGATTAGCCAACTTTGAAAACAGTAAAACTTGTAATCCACACTGTAGTTTGGTACTTTATTTTCATTCACTCATTATTTTCTATTTTGTAAATTGTCCCCGCTAACGATCCCCCGTCTAACTCGGAGAAACAACATATCCTAACTTAAATTTATTAATTATATATTCTAATTGTTAACCCTCCGATGTAGGCTACCTACAAAAGCGATGTTAGGGTGGATAGGAGCAGTGCCTCAAATCTTTACCCTGCCCGGCTACACGTCAGAGCAAGTCGTTTTGGCAATGGTAAAACAAATATTTTACGATGTGAACACATATTCTAAGCTAAAAAAACAACAACACTGTAATCTACAAAGTATTTTCTGCATTGACACTTGAAGAGCACTTTCACTTTTTGGCCGTACAAATTAGGTAATTGCGACAGGTGGTCATTTTTTGGTTTCTTTGGACCAACAAGAAACGGTTTAAACCTAAACTGAAACATGTTTCGATGAAAAGTATTTCTCGTTTACGTAACACTCGCAGCCGGAGCACTGCGATCTGTTTACATGAGGTCACCGCCAACTGAATGAGAATCGCACAATATATACTGATCGATTAAATTCGTCATAGATGGCGGTGAGCGGGATAAATGCACGTACGTGCAGAGCAGAAGCGGGCAAGAACAGAACTATTGTCTAATGGACACGCAAAGGAGAAATAAAAATATTATTCGTCTTTTGTGAATAGTGTGTAGTGTTAATGACAAAGTGTATTGTACAGTAATCTGTTCATAAGTCTTTCTAATGATTTTAATAACCCATTTTTCTTTTCCTTGCGGCAATAGTTCGCTATAATTAATTTATTGCCAGAATGCACACTCGCTTACTCAAGTAGATTTGATTTTTCCCCGGACTGTCTCAGCCAGCGGCATCATTGGTCGGAGGCTGTTGGACGTCGGCACTACTCATGCATTCTGTGATGTGTTCGGGCTCTCACTTTCAAAACAACAATACTTCCTAATTCTGCCGTTTGCAAATGTATACAGAACGAGTAATTTTGAATAGCGCACCTCGGTAGGTAATGGGTTAGCTTACTGACCTCTGAATCCTCAGTGCGCAGGTTGGATCGCGACCGAGGTGCCCGGATTTTCGAAGGGTGGAAAATCCACAGTCAGTGAAAAATCCTCCTGTGGCATGTAAAAGAACCCTGGCGGATGCCCGGCAAATCCCTTCGACAATATCCCGCCCTAACAAGATCTCACTTTCTCCCAAACACATAGTTCGGATATATTTAACTATCTCTGACAATCATTCGACTGTGACCGACATCTGCCGGAGAAAATGGGTCACACCCCAGGCGCATCAGGGGTCCGCCCGCGAGGCCGCCTGCTCGAAAGAAACTACTACTTTTACTACTACTACTACTACCACCACTACTACTAATGAACAAGAAGCATTTTGCGAGAAACGCACCTCCACACGTCGCTGGCCTTGCTGAAGGTGGACGTCTTGATGACCTCCGGCGCCATCCAGGCGTAGGTGCCGGCCGCCGACATGCGCGTCGTCTTGTACACCTCGCGCGCCAGCCCGAAGTCCGTGATCTTGAGCGTCTTGTACAGGAGGTCGTCGTTCTCGATGGGCTCGCTCAGCAGCACTGCAACCACACAACGCGCCGCAATCAGCTTCACGCCGCCTTCACGGAACTCGCACGGGGCGGGCTTCGGCTTCCCTCATACAGAAGGGAAGAGTCAAGTAAAGTTTACACACACACACATTATATATGACTAAGTAGTTTTAACGTGTACAATATCATATAAGTTTAATGTAGCCCGGAACCAAACATAGTCCCGAAACGTTGCAAAACTTTAATAATGACAGACTGATGTGTAGTACAAAACCAGCGACATAAAGAATGTTATAAGTTGTCTAAAAATGGAAGCAATATATCTACTCTCTATACTTCACTAATTGACGTTATTATGCACATTTGATCTTTCCTGCTTCGTGCGCACGGAAAACGAAATTTCAGGTGTCTATTATTTTGAAAACTATAAAGACTTCAGTGTTAACAGATCGGTCCTCAATGACGACCAACATATATTCTTGTAAACCATTATTCAGCTACGTATCGATCCAAGTGCGTTTGCAAGATTTCTTCATGCCTTTTTGGCCTCAAAGTATTGCTTATTTCGGATTAATATCCTTCTGATTTCA